AGATACATACAAAGGAACAAGTATATTACTGGACCTCTATATATAAGAAGAAATTATATATAATGAATGAAGAGAATTAACTTTTATCAGCAAAAATATTTCTTGAACAGTCCGAACATAAAGAAAAAGGCTTTGAAATTCTTTATTATTTGGAAAATGATTATATTCGAGCCATGAGATTTCTTATCTCTCTGGTTAAAATTATTGATCTCGTGAACGTGACTGAAATTGTTATTGATTTAACATTTAAAACCAATCAAGAATAATTCAAACTTTTTGCGGTGAATGTGAATTGCAGTGGATATGGTATACCAATTGTATACTTATACTTTTGTACCCGTAATAATACTCAAGAAGCTCCAGATGATCCAAAAAATGAAATAAAAACGCGTGTCGAAGTATTATAAATGTTCTTTATTAGACTTTGACAAAAGGGATTAAAACCAATTTTTGTTCTTACAGACAAGGATGTAGGAGAGATATCAGCTATCAATGAGACATGGTTGTGAACAACAAACATTCAGCTCTGTTATTGACATCTTGAACATGCCATTGATCGAAAGTTAAAAGAAAAAAAATATGAATAGAAACTTATACAGCAATAAAGTCTTCAGATACTTATCAGAAATTTAGTTTTATTGATTCGTTGTGAATTTCAAGAACCAATACTGGTTCGATTTGTCCAGATAATATTACGAAAGAGCTTTTAAGCATGATTAAAAAGCATGCTAATATACATTCTCTTATCCCACTTTCAAAAAATGCTTTTTTAACCCAAAAAAAATATATCACTACTATACTGAAGAGATATCAGTTTTGTCGTTCACAAGATCTTGCGAGATTGTGGGGTTATTTGTGAATGAATTGGTATAACGAAAATGATTGGAAACTTTTTGCACGCTCTTCATATGCATTAGCAATACCTTTAGCTCGCACAATAATGATTACAGAAAGTCATTGGTGAGTTTTAAAATATAATTATAAACAGAATTATAACAGACCACGTTTGGATTAACTCACTCACATTCTTGCTGAACTAAGAATGCTTGCCTAAATTCTTTCAGAAAAATATCGTCATAATTTTGATGGGTTACACACTAATTGTTAATTAGAATTTTGACATAATTTTGGTTACGACAGGTTTTAAAATTTGTCAGAATTTCGACAGGTTATTTACTAATAGTTTATTATAATTTTGACAGAATTTAGACAGTCACTAAGGGATTTCAACAAGCAACCTTAGCCATTGCTCCAATTTTTCTTTCGACATTTGGAATTTTTGCTGTAAAAGAAGGATAAGGGCATCGATATCAGATTCATTTTTAATGAGAAACTCTGAAGATAAAGAAATCAAAGGTTCAGGTATATTTTTCTCCATTATGCTAACTTCACCAATAGTGTTATCGATGACATGGCATATATCTTGAGAAGAATTGAGATCTGATTTTGGGAGATCTGCGATTACATTATTGCTTAAACAAGCATTAGGAAGAATCATTTTTAGATTTTCATCTATTTTAAGTTTTAAGTGTGTAAGTTGATTTCTACGATCTTTTTCTCGGTAAAATAATACTTTAAATTCCTTTAGTGGTTTGAGAAGAAATTCCATAAAATACTTTAGATTATAGTTAGCGTGCGATCTCCATTTTTTCCCAAATATTATATAGTAACAACACTCATTTTTCTTATAAATTGGTAGGAAGTTTGGTAAATTAATATCAAAATCTTGATGTGATAAAGTATAAGATGTATGAATACCCGAAGAAAAACCTATCCCTCGTAAAATCTCCTCTAAGGCAATAACTTTTGGCAATAATGAATTGCAAGAAGCCTTCTTTTGTGAGTCTCCAATAACTATAAATCTATAATTCTCACGTAAGTCATCAAGAGGATTTACAGCTTGAACTAATGTACTATACGCATTTTGCATCTCTTTTTGGGAATATTTTTCTACAAAATCTTCAGTTATATTTTCAGGAGTCTTTTTATAAAAAGATGCTAGATTGTATTTCTGTAAAGCAAGTCTCCAGACTGGATCTATATCCTTTTCTCTTTCTAAGCATTCTCAAATATCCGAAGCTTCAATATCACTCAAAACTGGAGCATTAGCAATCATTGAATACTTTTCTGTATCCAGAACTTTTTTGATTGAACATACATTTAAAAGCAATTCTTTGCCTTCATTATTTTCTGTGATTTTTGAATTAATAGAAGGGCAATCTTTGGCAACACTAATGTCATAACCGCATTCACTAAGACAGTTAGCTAGTAAACCTACAAAATCATTTTCTAGACGCATTATAGTGGGATGCATTATAGAGATGAGTTTCTAAAGATGCATTTGGTTTAAAAATCCATTTGCCATCAAGAGTAAGTGTTTTATCACAATGAGCTTCCTCTAAGTTGGAATATTCCGTGACATTACATCAATAGCTGATAAAATGAAATAAATCTTCACGGTCTGTCGGCAAATTATCGCCACGTAAATCTGTTAGAACATGCATTACATTTTGATTTAACTTTCTAATGTGGTGCAATATCTGATATGCTTCATTGCTTGTTAGACCAGCTAATGTGCGAAAATGAGCAAACATCATATCAAAGTTTTCTATTGTTATACTTACATCGCAAGTCATGACTGGAGTTGCTATTAAATAATCGAGATTTGCCACTGCATCGTTAATATCGACAAATATGTCTTTTTTCTCTGTTTCTGATAGCCGTTTGGAAAAACATTTACCTCGATACCCATGAGACGCCAATTTTTTATGAAGAGCTTCTGCCATTTTCGCACTAGCAAACATTGGAATATAGACTTTTAATCCTTGTCTCAGAGCTTCAATTAATTCAGCATTCCATTTTTTGGTATTAATATATATAAGAGCATGACGTTTATCTCGTATATGCTGGTTCCATATCACGGTTGAATTTTCAGTATCTATTTTCAAAATATTTTGTAAATGTACAAGCGAGTCTGAATCTAATATAGCATCTAAAGCCAATATCAATAATGCAGATTGAAGCAAGAATTTATATATGTCATGGCTCAGCTTCAGTTTTTTCATAGTAGGTCCACTAAAATTCTGAGTGATAGTTTCAAACTCATCTAGTATAATTATATCATAGCCAGTTGCTCCAAGTTTGTGAATACTTTCAGAACTAATAATGAGTTTCAGAGTATCTTTAGGATTAAGCTTTTTCATATCCAGTTCGAGATAAGACTTAAACCCTTCGAAAAGAACTTTTTGATCATGGGCTAGACTACGCCAGCCGGAAATGATAAGAATTGAAATAGAAGAACCATCAGAATGACATAGTGTTTTTATTTCCTCTGTTGTCTTATTTGATTTACCAACACCGCAATGTCCTTTAATAAGCATCAAGTGCCGGTTACTGCTTGTAAGTTTAGCTTGTAAATTATAGCTACGCATTGTTTTAGCATTATATATTTTGATGTTTTTTCCAATAGCAGTAAAGTTATTTTGTGAATGAGATTGTAATATATGCTGAAGCTGAGATCTTAATCTATCTAAACGTGAAATAACTTTTTTCTTCTTACTGGTTCTGCTATCATTGTCTGCTCTAATGACTTCAATATCAGATTCACCTTTTTTTGCCTAAAACAATAAAGAAAATAATTTGATTCACGCCATCTACCATATATACCTTCTCTCATGTGCTCTTTTTCACAGATCAAACATGTTGTAGGCAGAGTTTTATCAAAAGTATCAAAGCCATTACTAGAATTTTGATAAGACAGAAAAGGAAATTGTTCTTCTACTATTTTTATTGCAGTATCACTCTGCTCACGTGAAACAGACTCATTT